CAACAGTCTTGCATCATGTATTTTTTGCCGCACTCGCACCTTGGAACATAAAGGGGTTCAGACATTTGTTAAAGTGTAAAGAAAAACCTTGCTTTTATGGAAAATTTTGCTATTGGTTATTGTTAAGTGCAGAAAATAACTAGAATGCACCCTTTATTTATAAACAAGACAACACACAAAATGTAGTATTGTACCACGCTATACATATTCACTTTTTCTGAAACGAAACAGCTTTTTCGCAGTCGGTCAGCTTTTCAGACCGACAAGACAACACACAAAACGGAGTATTGTACCGTGCTATACATATATCACTTTTTCTGAAATGAAGTAGCTTTTTGGCAGTCGGTCAGCTTTTCATACCGACAAGACAACACACAAAATGTAGTATTGTACCGCGCTATACATATTCACTTTTTCTGAAATGAAACAACTTTTTCGTAGTTGGTCAGCTTTTCAGACTGACAAGACAACACACAAAATGTAGTATTGTACCGCGCTATACATATTCACTTTTTCTAAAACGAAACAGTTTTTTCGCAGTCGGTCAGCTTTTCATACCAACAAGACAACACACAAAATGTAGTATTGTACCGCGCTATACATATTGACTTTTTCTGAAACGAAACATTTTTGTCTTGATTTATCCCTTTATTATCTTTTATTTTCAGGTATGTTGCTTTAGTTATGGTTGTTGTGCTTTTATCTCTTCGAATATTATGTTATAAAATTTCAATCTTTATATTGGTCTTCTTTACTAACACCAATAAGTTGAATGTTGGAACTATCATATCATCATCCCAATTCAAAAGGTCATGTTAAAAAATAAGATGTAACAAGACAGTGGAATATAATTTTATTTGATAGATATTGCAACATAAACAAGTACAGACACTTATTACAAAAAATATTACGAAAAATAAAACACTAGGTGTATCCTTGATAGTTGGGTACATTAGACGAACTTGCACCAGGAGCTGGATTACCACCGCCACCCAGACCAGTTGAAGGACATTTATGACGAGCGTGTCCTGTTTGCGAGCATATGCCACATTTACGCGCATAAACAGTATCACCAACATCCATTTGGTTTCGTATACGCGTTCTCTTTTGCACTTGCAGCTTGCACAAATAGTCCTTGTTACACAGCATTTTAAATGGTTCCGGCAGCCAATAATGCTCAGCACCCAATGGCTGCAACTACCCACTATATGTGTTTACGTATGCAACAACACTGTATTGCCTATATACATAGTTGGTTGCCCCTAAACCAACTTGTTGAAAGCACTTCATGGCATGTGCGCACGGCATGTGGTAGATAGTCCATTTCCCACATGAACACAACCTGCTGACTTCATTCACGGTTTGTAGATTATTCCCTCGGTTTCCGCGAATTGCGAACTTCAAAAATACCCCGGTCGTGATCATATTGTAAAAATGAATGCCAATGTGCTCGCCTCCTCTATTTCTCAAATCTTCTCATCGGTAATGGAATAAATTGAACATCATTGTCCATCAATTCCGATGTAGCTCTATGCCTTTCAACAAACCTCTTCGTAATTTGTTTGAATGTCATCCGGACCATGGCAGTGACAGGCAATCCGCGTGCAGACTTCAATAAGCCGTTGAGTGACTCCGACACATTTATAGTCAGGGCTCCCCATCGTCTGCCACCATTAGCATGTAATGTCCACTTGTGAAGCTCATGTCCCATCAGCCAATTATAGGCTCTTTCGTCTAACTGCTGGATCGCTTCCATGCGCCTCACGAATTTGCACTGCTGGTGCTTAGTTGCAGCCATCCACATTAAATCATGCAAGGCCTTGTCGGGATATTTCTTCTGGAAATTGGCTTTCAGATACCTCACACAGTAACAGTGGTATGCATATGGTTCCTGACATTCAGGCAAATGCCTTACAAAGCTTGAAATATCACTATGTCGATAAGATATTAGACAAATACCTGAACGTTGTTTGACAACGTGCTGCTTCAAGTGGTTCAAAAAAAGTGTCCACGTCTCTTCGCTTTCATTGGCACAAATGAAAAAAACTAGTGGAAATATTTGTCAGTTGGCATCTACTGCAACTGCGATCAAAAGCTTAATATCATACTTTCTATAGACATGAGTACCGTCTATGGAAATGACCGGACGACAATGCACAAAACCATCAATTGTTGGTTTAAATGACAAGAACACATAGTTGAAAATATATTTCGGGCATCCTAGACTCCACAAATGCCTCCATTCAACAACAGACACGGGGTTAAAGTGTTTCAGTGCGGCTGGGTAGAGATGAAAATGACTTATCCCAATCACCATAAATAATTTCAAGTGCACGTTTGCGCCTGATATATGCCTTTCTTTTTGGTTATAGTACACCTATATTCCTGGTGGAGGGATGCAATACACTCTTTGATCTTGTACCTAATGGACACTTCCAAGTATGGAATCAAGACAAGAGAAATCAAGTCTACATCTAAGTTGAAGTGATTATGATTAAATGGGTCTGTTTCACATCTGTGGGTGCCAATATATTTACCCATTTTCCACAACCCTGTTTCCTTCTTGATCGCACGCAACATCCAGTTAGAACCCATAAACTGTCTATGGCATACAGCCTTGTATACCTCCGGAGTTGACTCTTTTACCGTCATCTCACGACACTCTCTTACGTTGTATATTTTTACAGCCCTGGTTAAGCGAGCTTTATCGGGAAAATACATACCATTTTCCAGCACCGTTGGTCTAGACTCATCCTACGTTGCTGACCGAAATTCGTCAGCATCCCTTGTGAGGACATCCACATCCGGCATACTTGGCAAATTATCAAGGTAGGGAATATTCCGCTCATGAAACGGCACGTGGAACTCGTACACTCTTGGTCTAACGGGAGGTGGGGGAACATGATCCCTCGTCGGCTCAGGTTCAACATTCACTTCCTCCTCATCATCACCCTCGTCGGAGAAGGATGTTCCATCTCTAGACTCATCGGCATTGTTGTCATAATCACTATTATCTTCCCGACTCTGCGCATCTGTCAGATCACGAGTAAATACGTCGTCTACGGGCAACTGATTGAGGTTAGGACCATCAAGTTGCTCGTTTTCACTGCAGAAAAAGAACAAAATGATAAGCTACTCAAATTGATAAATATTTTACATATAGCTATATCACTTCACTTACAAGTCGTACTGCGTTGACATTCTATGATGCACATTTTCCTGTTGGTGATGACTCCCGGATGGACCACCGTGATCCAACACGCCAGAACTACGCATATTCCAACTGGGCGTGGGGTCATAACTTGTAAAATTCATATCTGGATGGTATCCCCTGTGAAAAATATGAGTGTTAATACAAATTCAATTCAACAAAAAATAAACATCGTAACAGAAAGGAAAATTGAAGTTTACCAGTCGTCTTGTGGATTATGTAAAGTAGGAGAGAAATTATTTCCTCACTCCTCGTTCGCCCGCAGAGATAAGTTAAGATCCGGCCAAACTCTTTCAGCTGGAACATGTTGGGTTAAAATTGCTCCAGAATAACCACCCGATGATTGGGGCTTATCCCTGCTTTGCGCAATCTCATTATTGCTAACGTCTTCAGCCTTGACGTACATTTTCAATAATTTTATTACAATAAATTTCCTGTATTCATCGCGAATCCACAAAAAATCTCTAAGAGTTTCATCATCTTCGATGTTAAACTTAGAATAATAAGCAAACCCTTGTGGAGTCACAAAATACGGAAATCTACCGGTTACTTTAAGGTTCACCGAACGTTTCCTCACACTCATTTTTTTACGTAACAATGATACCAATTTATCGTACTCCATTGTAAGCGGCAATTTAACATGATACTATGGAGATGAACTATACCTCACAGAGTTATTCTCTATTACAACTGCATTCCTCCCTNTTGAACGGAAGTTAGAATATTTTTTGAATGGATTTTCATAAAATCCTAACTCCTTTAAATAAGGCAATGTCAAGCCTAGGGTGCTGAATTTTTTGATGTATAGCGAGGTATTACACCGCGCTATACCCATTTGAATTATTGTTATGTCAGTTAATCGCAGGAGAGTTATTGGTGGGCCCACAAACATGTATAGCACGGTATAATATCGCGCTATATATATTTGAATTACAGTTATGTCAGTTAAATGCAGGAGACTAATTGTTGGGCCCAAAAACAGGTATAGCGCGTTATAATATAGCGCTATATATAACGCGGTATTATACTGCACTATATATAACGCGTTATTATACCGCATTATACTTTAACGGCAGAAACACTGTTAAACTATAGCGCGGTATAATACCGCGTTATATATAGAAAAGTATCTATTTTTTTAATACAGTAAACGGTATTTTGAGTCCAAAATATTGACATTTAGGTTCGGACTCAGATTAAATGTGGACAATATCCGAAAGTAAAGAGGTATATTTGGCCTTTTCCCTTTTTCAAATACTGCCAACTTTAAAAAAATTGGCTAAGAAAAGATCAGCCGCTTACGGCGCGGCCATCCCCTGCCAATCCCCAATAAATTTTGGAGACCAGATCTTTCTTTAAAAATAAAACATAAAAAATCCGTTCCATCACCAAATCAAAAAGTGTTTTTTTTTTTAAATAATCAAGAGTTCATTACCCAATATACACTCCATTTATTTTTTTTATAACTACTCTCTATTTTTTTATGTAGTATTTTTATTTGGTTGTTATTAAAAAAATGGTATACCAGTATACCAGAAAAGACTAAGAAAATGGAGTCAGTATCAAATTGCAGGAATGGGCGAATCCACGAGGTGAGAAAATCTGTCTTATGAATTTTGCTAGTCATTTTTAGTCTGCTTGACTTTAAGCCATATTTACATACATTCTCAAGCTATAAATATGTAAAATCTTAAGTCCTCTAAATCTAAGCTCATTTCTTCTTTATTTCTTGACTCCCTCAAGATTTGTCTACTCAATTCTTTATTCTCCAAATTTAAGCTTTAAAAAAATGGAACTTTATGTTCATAACATAAAGGGAGAAAAATTTGACAACCCCATTGAAGGGAAATTTACAAAACCTAAATTAAAGATTTTTTTCAAGAATGAATACCTTCCTAATTGGTTCTTGGAAGAAATTTTCTTAAGATTGCCTGTAAAATGTGTTTTTAGGTACAAATGTGTTTCAAAACAATGGCTTTCTTTAATTTCTGCACCTTCTTTTGTATCTCTTTATATTTCTAGAGCTTCTTTGTTGCCCCAACAAACACCTATTTGGACCATTCTTGCTAACACTTTGAGTGTTAATAATGGTGTTAACTATTTTGCTCAGTCATACTTGCCTGATTTGTTGTCTGATAATCGGTTACATCCGAGATTCTGTACTATTCATTTTCCTTATGTTGGTTGTCCTGAAGATGAAAGATATGCTATTGTAGCAGTCAGTGATGGGCTAGTTTTGTATGATCGAGGTGGAAGTGATTATCGCATTTACAATGCTATTACAGGGGATTGTATTGCGCTTCCTCCACCTTCGATGAGTTTTGAGCGTGTTAGTACTGGTTTTATAACGGAATCTGAAGGGGGGTCTCTGAGAAGTTTTAAAGTGGTGAGATTTGATTGTCAGTTTGGCGAGTCGTATATACTCAAGTTTGAGATATTCTTGTCTGAGACTGGAAGTTGGAGAAGTCTTGTTGTTCATAATGATGTACCAATTGAAGTTGTGTCCCTCAGGAGGCCTGTTTCTTTGAATGGGAACCTACATTGGATTGATCGTCGCCTTGGTATTATGGCGTTCGATCCGTCCAATGACTTGAATCAATGTCGCGTAATTGAACTTCATGATGATATTGATAAGCAATGTAATGATGCTAGAAATAATGGAAGTCCTACTTTGTGTGATGTTCATCAGGGTCGCCTGAGGTATATCGAGGTGTCTCTTGTTCCCTCATATCCCTTTGGATTTTCAGGCTTTTCTGTTTGGGTTCTTGACGATTATGACTCTTCAAATTGGAGTCTGCAACACAGGGTGAAGATCCGTGACATCGTGTTTGATGATATTTCAATGAGCAAAGCGTTAACTGGGCTCATTCCTACTCCAATCGCCTTCCATCCGCTTGATGCCAACATCTTATACCTTGGTTTCGGGGATGCTGTTGTTTCATATAACATGAAGACATTGAAGTTGGATGTCGTTGCTGTAACAGCGGCTCAACAAAATTCGTGGCCTAAAGCCGGTACTGTACCGGCTTCACCGTTCAGTCGACTCTGCCTTGGTGATCCAGATGATGTTCCAGTTATGATTCAAAGATTATTGCCTTGTTGGTCATCAGCATTCTTGTTCATGCTTCCTGCATGGCCAATTTCTCTTCCTATTGATTACAAAGGACTGAAGAAGTAATGTTGTGCTTAAATTAGTATTAATTAAAAAGTAGTAAGCAATAAAGTAAATGCTGATGATTCTGTGTATTAGTGAAATTAATATGGAGCTGCTTGTTCATGTCATTTACTTTAAAAACATTTTCCTGTACTAATCACTTTTGTAGCGGTCCCCGAACTCAGCGCATAACGGGAACTTAATATACCGGACTGTTTTATGTTTTAATAAAGTCAGTTACAATTAATTAATAAGTAAATAAAGTGGTTCGTG